TAACTTTTTTAAAAAACAGGAAAGTGAGCGCGTTTTCTTACTCTCATATTCTAACATGAATACAGGATGCTTTTTTCTGGTTCAAATCGCAATACCAAAAGTATATATGTATATTTTTTAATTTTTAAAAAATGACAGAAAAATAAATTTTTATTGAAGAAAATATTATTATTTTTCAACTTCTAACATACTATTTATTTCATTTTTTCCTCTTTTTTTACCTTTCATTTTTTTAATTTTACTGTGAATGAACATATAGGAGAAAGAAACATCAAATTCCACTTCGCTTTCAAAGAAGATTGCCCAAGGCAACTTTAGCTAGCTGTAACCGATTGATCTCTTGGTTCTTACTTTACAAAAGGACCGAACTGTATCGTAAAATGGTCCCCGTTCGACCTCCCAAGTTCTAAAAGGGGAAAGGAAAGAAGTCTGTTGCATTTTTGAAGGGAATCGTAAAATAAGAGTTAAACGCTTTCGGAATAACTTTTCAAGAGGAAGGTATCCAGTTAGAGGGTTAAGTCATCATTTTCTGATAGAGATATAAATAATCGAATTTTGGCTTTTCATAAACAATTAAAAATTCAAATTAATAATAGTTTTAAATTTCCTGTTATATTTCTTACTCCCTAATTTCATAAAAGCCCAGTCAAATTTAGGACAGTTACAAATGGATTTAATACATATATCTGCAAAACAGGCTAGATTCTCCATGAGAGAGAGATAAATATTACATGATACAATAAGTAATCTTAAATCCACAACGTACTTAGAAATAGTAAATCTCTTATTGAAAAAATGAAAGATAAAAAGATCCATTCAATCTATAGTTTAGATTTTGAAGATCTTTTTAACTCTATTGATATTAATGATATGATTAACATACTTGTAAATTTTCATAACGATAATTTATTTAATAATATTATTTATGATAGATTTAATTCACTACTTCGGTTAGTACTCAAAGAGAACTATATATTTCATAAGGGTAACTATTATCAGCAGATTAAAGGTTTGCCACAAGGTGGCTCTGCAAGCAACTGTCTTGCCAATTTATACTTACATTATTTTGAAAGTAGTTATGTTAATAATTCTAAATATTATATTTATCGTTATATAGATGACATAATCATTTTTGGCAAGCAAGTAAATTTTATACCTAATACTAATTTTTATCCACAATATCTTAATTTAATACAAACAAATAGTAACAACAATGAAGAAAGTTTTCTTGACATACATATCAAATTAATAGATAATGTCATAGTTTCTAATATTTATGATAAAAAAGAAGATTTTTAATTCAATATAGTAAAATTTCTGCATTGGGAGAGTAATGTACATATTTCTATATTTAGAAATATTATTATTAATTATATACAACGCAATAAATTTCTAGTGTCAAAAAATCAGAAATAATAAATAACTATAAATATCTTACTAAATATTGCTTAACCCTCCAAGCGGTTAGCACGGGAAATTCTGGCATTGTAACGATGCTTCGAAAATGCATTGCACGGGTTTTTTTTTTTTTTGCCTTCAAGTAACATTTTCAAAAGCGGTTGAGCCGTACCTTTCTAAAATCCTTTCCCCTTTTTAAAGGTTTAACAACTTGAAAGATAATTAGGGACGGTGGAAGCAACACAGCAGAACAGTGATAGGAAGCTTTATGGCTCGCAGGGAACCCCGTGTTTTGATACTGGAGCAATCGTAAAAATAGGGGAAAAATTTCTTTAGACCCCAGGAAGAGTTTGTTTGTTAGCTTGTATTATAAAAGTTTTGAAAAGTCCCAGCGCATAAGTAAAATATGTTACAATTCCCTTTTGGTTTCATATTAATTTGAAACTGTAACAAGTAGGGTATAGTTAAACAAATTATCCCTTTTTAAGTATATTCTTTCGCTTCATTTTTCTTATCTTAATCAATGCTTTCAGTTTTTGAAACATGATTATTTCATTATAAAATGCCAAAAAAATTAATAAAACACCAAACACTTTAAAATTTCAAACCTGTTCAACTCTTCAACCACTAAAAATGAATAAATTTAAACTTCATCAAATAATTTGAAACATTTTCTTACACTTTGATAAAAATAATAACGAAAAAAAAACTAATTAAAATCTATTAGTTTTTTTTTTAGATTTCAAAGCCCAGTGTTCAGGGAAGTTTACGTACAGTGTGCCTCAATATATATTGTTAAAATGCACCAAATTATATTTGAATTTTAAGTGCTTGAACTTCAGTTTACATCAAAGACAACATGAATGAAGATTTTCACACATTTTTTTTATAACTTGAATGTTTGAATAAATGGTAATCAAAAATATGCGGAAACATTTACAGTAGACATTTATTCATATAAATAAACATAAAAATCAATTTTAAATTCGAGCTATTCAAAAACATTCGAATTATTCTTCAAAAATATCTATTTATGCAAAATACCTCAACATTTATCTTTTTTTTAAGGCTAACTGAATAAGTAATTAAACCTGGACATTTTTTGAAATCTCGACCGTATAAAGCTAGAAATTTTATGTTAGAAATTCCATTTGAAATTTCGAAAAAAAAATGTATCACGCAGTTAAAAATTATTTACCATAAGTTCTAGCAATTCTTTGAGTATAAAATAAATTTCAAATTTTTTATTATATAGCTTCTTTGATATTTTTAAATATATTTCGAAGATTTCATACAATTCAGTTGAAAACTGCATGCTAAGAGCAAAAATTATACTAAAAAAATTAACGAATATACAATAAAGTTTTACATAGAAGCAAAAATAAGAAGCTGAAGCGCAGGAATGAAACATTTTTGAGTATATCTGAGTATTTTTCGAAATATTTATTTTAAATTTCAGAAAATTTGTGTGCTTTATGTTATACTTAATATTAATCAAATGGTTGAAATAATATGTTAATAATAGTCATGTAATCGTTTGAAGACACATTCATATACTAATAAAAATTATAATGGTCATTTATGCGAATGTCAGACTTTTACGCAATTTTAAATTCAGACATTTAGATATTGATGTAGAAAATATAAAACGGCCATCTAAAATACATGAAAAATGCAGTATGCTATAAAATGATCTTGACAAATAAAATACGTAGGTAAGTTAGGTAAGTTTTAGGTAAGTTACCTCTATTTTGTAATGGATTTAGATATTCCTATCCATTACTTTCAATAGGATTTTGCTCAGTATTATTTACATAAAGGGGGAAGGTTGGCTGGCCAAAACACATGTTCAACCGCACTCTTATATAATTTATATATTAGCTGTTCTAAGTCAGCAATGTTTATAATACTGCAGCATCCATTTTATAATTTTTAATCTAGTGTCCTTCATTGTATGTTCTCTTTACAGTCTCTGTGTTTTTTTCGAATGTGATTGGTGAATGTTTATGTCTTGTCTGTAAAGAATTAGACTATATACATCTATATATATAAAGTATTGGCCGAGTGGTATATTTTGTCCAGTGTTGGCAGAATTTCATTAATACATCTTCAGTGGACATACTTCTTTATTGTGACGCACACATATCAAAAGCTTAGGACAAAATTACGGTACCTTTTCATGTTGACGAGACAAACTTGCGACGATTATAAAACAGAGTGGACAGGAGACAAGCAGAAGTGACATCTTGACAGACACAGCATAGAGATACAGATTGAAGCTATTTACACTTTTACATGATGACGGCAGAAAGGAAGAGAGTGGGATTACACAAGATGTTTGGTTTTATACTAATAGTACAAGTGCGTGATGATTTCGTAATCGTAGTTCTGATTGGATAGAAGGTGTGGGACAGAGATTTCTGATGCGATAATATTAGTCGATTACGATTAAGATCAGGGTGTTAGTTTCGAACCAAATAATTAAAAGATTATTTCAATATTATTAACAGAGTTAATTAAAAGGATGCTAGAGGGAATTTATATATATATATATATATATATATATATATATATATTATAATCCTTTGCAAATAAACCAATAAAAATAAAAGAAATAAACTGTAAGTACATTTTTACTTTGATGCACTCATGTTCAAAACTAAGACCACAAATATAGTTTTCGACTTAATTCTAAATTGTTACCAGTTAAATTGGCAGAACTTGCATTTTATATATTTCGAAGCACAGGTACTACAATATCAACCGTAGGCTTTGGAAAATAAGTAGTTAAGCGTTAGTGATTGCATAATTATTAAATTAAAACCTTTAAAATGTCTGGATTTCTGCTTGCAGTTTTGTGAATATTTCATAACAGCAATTAACTTGGTTTTTAATATTTAAACAAGATTAATTGTTCTCTTATTATTATTTTTTTTATTTTTATTTCATAAATATCGGATATCAGTAAACTATATTATACTTGTTTACACATGCTTTTATTTAACTTGCAATGTAAAATGTTTGGGTGGAATCTTGCAACTCAATTTTGAAGCTGATTTCTTCAACTGTTTGAGCTGAAAATTTATATACACGTTTAGTTTGGATGACAACACATGTTTTAACTATTTATATTCCATTACTGCAATTAGTTAAAAAATATATCAATTAAAAAACTCTTACCCATGATAGAAGCTTACTTTATCTCTTTCCACAAGCCCTCGTGGCCTAGAGGTGAAATTAGCTGACTTCAAAGGAATTACCCATGGTTCGATTTCCGGGATCTCGCAGTTTTTAAATTTACTTAAAATCACTCTAATTTTCATTCGAAAATTATTTCTCTTGAACAAATTAAAATTTTCTCGTTCTTTCCTATTTGTTTACAAGATTTTTTTTCAGTTTTAATGTAAAATTTTCTGGTGGAATATTACAACTCAATTTTGAAGCTGATATCTTCAACCGATTGAGCTGAAATTTTGTATACACTTTTAGTTTGGATGACAATGCATGTATTGATGATTTATATTCCGATATCGACCTAGTTACTGTAAAGATCTTGTTTAGGTGTTAAGGTGAGCATGTTTACAACAACACAGGTGCCGACCAAAAGCGTAGCTCATATGGTAGAGCGCTTGCTTAGCATGCAAGAGGTTCGGGGATCGATAACCCGCGCCTCCAATTGTTACTTTTTCGTGTAAAATATTTTTGAAATTCGTTTAATTTGGTACAACGAGATATACTTTACAGCATTTCCACTCTGCGTATGTACAAAGAATATTTTATTTTTACTGTTCTACAGGGAACATTAAGAGAAAGAGACAGATCTATCAAACTAACTCTATTTACTTTGAAACATTCTAAGATATATATTTACTCGATTCTAGTTTCTCCGGTAACACTTATAATTGACCTAGTTACTGCAACAATCTTGTTCAGGTGTTAAGAAGAGCATGTTTACAATAACACAGGTGTCGACCAGGAGCGTATCTCAGATGGCAGAGCGCTTGTTTAGCAGGTGATAGGTAGAGGGATTGATACTTTGCGCTTCCAATTATAATTTTTTCGTTTCGTGTAAAATATTTTATTTGTACTACGAGATATTTTACAATACTTGTACTCTGTACACGTACAAAGTATGTTATATTTTACAAACTTTTATTTAACTTACAATGTAAATTCGATGTTTCAACCGATTGAGCTGAAATTTTGCATGCGCGTTTAGTTTGGTTGACAATTCTTGTTTTCACCATTTATATTCCAATATCGCATTTAGTTAAAAAGGCTAGCTGCCTGGCCTAGCGTTGCACGGGCTTTCTCTACTTTTATAAATTTTCCCATTTCTTCACAAAATTAGCACTTCTAATATAATCTTTTTTTTTCAAAATCAATTCCATCCCCCCCCTCCTCCCCTTAGGCCGATGTTGCTCGAGATTTTACTTAGTGTATAACTTAAAATTTCCTGTTTCGAAAGTTTTCCGCTTCTTTTCTTTGTTTCAGACAGGTTTACTTACCCCTGACGTTGTACGAACATTTTTAAATGCATAACATATTGTCATGTAAATTCTCCTTCACTTTTCACTATCAGAGCTTTTAGGAAAGTGAACATTCAACGATTCTTAAGCAACTTGAAAGGTGCAGCAGTTTAGTGGCATAAAATTAATGAATTATTGCACAAAAAAATTCGTAAAAAAGGTTTCGACATTTTATTTTTTAAATCATTAGCTGTTAAAAGAAAGTATGAGATTTTTAAAAATCAATTTCATATAAACGCATCGATAGTGTTTCATTTTAGAAAAAGCCATATGGAAAGTATCGTTGTTTTGAAAAAAAGAAAAGAAAAACATACTGTATAGTGACGAAATAAATATTCTTTCCAATTACAAAATTGATGGTGAAATTATTAAATGCAAAAATAAAATTTTGAGTATTTTTTAAAACAATCATAAAAACTAAGCGATGGTGTTGTTTTTAACCCAAGGACAAAAGTTAATAATCCAGCGTTCTAAGCGTTCAAACCACGAAATCTTCGTGGAAAAAGAAATAAAAGAGCTGCAAATTAAAAGGAAGAGATATTCAAGTTAGCATTGCGTTATTTGTTAAAATTTAAATTTGGGGGGGGGTCTTCATTTTTAAATTAATGCCTTCAAACTTCATATATCGATTGAAAGCAACGATAATTTTTAACTAAAAATACAACAAAAAATAATCCTTTAATATTTCCCGCAAAAAGAGGAAAAAAAAGAAAAACACAATTTTTTAAACTGTAATTTTTGAGCAATATTTTAAAACTTTGTGCATATTACGGATAATATCTTTCTACACACGAAAAAAAAATCATGAGATTATTTTTATAAATAAAAAAAATATTAATTATTTAAATAAAATTTTGAGTATTTTTTTAAAAATCGTAAAAATAAGAATTGTCATTTTATTTTTTAAAATTACTGCTTCTCTAAGAGAAAAGCATGAATTTTCTTAGTGTAGAATATCATTTTACTGAATGGACAGAAAATTCAATCGGAGAGATTTAGAAATCATTTTTATTAAAACGTATCGCTTTTGACTCATTTTAAAAAAAAAATCGTAAAAAAAAAGAAAATATTATTTTGTAAAAAGTATTATACCGTATCGTGGCGAAGTAAATGATCTTTCTGATTCTGTATTTTTTTGTTTTTTTGTTTGAGTCTCATAACAAATTAGATCGGGTCTTAAAAACGACTTGGATAAAAAAAAGGTAGGGAAATTGGAACTTTGGCACCTGGCGGGAAAAAATGGCAATAATGATGCGTTTTAAGGTTTTTAATTAGTATCTTCTTAACTATTTGCTCTATTGGAATATAAGTGGTCAAAACGGATTCCTCTGATCATTTCCGATCGTTTGGTACTTTTGGCGAATTTCTGCGTTGTGCGGTTCGTGAGAAGATACATCTAGTCGTATAGTTGCATACGTTTGTTTACCTTCGAGTTTTGAATTGTGCAGATATTAATTAAAGTAATCTTTTTGGGTGGAATCTTGCAACTCAATTTTGAAGCTGACGTCTCCAACCGCTTGAGCTGAAATTTTGTATACATATTTAGTTTAGATGACAATGCATGGTTTGATGATTTATGTTCTGATATCGTAATTAGTTAAAAAGTTATTAATTGAAAACCTTTTACTCCTGTTAGCTTTTTATTCTGCCGTGCAGCTTATCGGACACAGCTTAAAGAAGTTCCGATTCTCTCTCTTCGACCTTTCTTAAAAAAACATCTTGTTCTTTCTCTCTAACTGAGACAAAAAATTAATAGCCTAATAGGAAAGATTCTTTATTTCGTAAAATACGGTATAATTTGTTAAAAAAATAATGATATATCTATTTTTTACATTTTTTTTTCTAAAATGAGTCAAAATCGATGCGTTTTCATGAAAATGATTTTTAAGCCGTTCCGTATTATTTTTTTTCGTGTTAATGAATCGATATTCTGCACTAAGAAAGTTTAGACTTTTCTCTTTTAAAGTCAGTCATTTAAAAAATAAAAGGCCTAAAACTTTTTTTTTTACAATTTTTGAAAAATACCCAGATTTTGAATAAAATATTTAAAAACTTTTTCATTTTTAAATATAGTTGCACGGAAATATTTTCTCAATTGTAGAACAGTATTATCCAAATTTTGCATAAAAATTGAAAAAAATTGGTTTAAAATTACGGTTTTACAAAAAAAACGTGTTTTTCGTTTTTAATATAGTATTATAGTAAAAACAAAAAAAAAGGAATGAGTTTTAATATTTTAATTAATTTTTCTTCGTCCAATAGTGCTTTGATTTAGCAGTGCTTATCCCCCTTCCCATTGTCCTCTTGTTGCGGCACGAGTTACATATCTATCATATGTATGTGGCCTGGCGGAAAAAAATGTTGAGTAACCCTTAGCTGAACTGTTCAAAATTAACCGGCAAACGACCTTTTAACAATGATGCGTTGAATAAGATCAACAGATTGAGAAACCTCTGTCTAGCGATAACTAAAAAGTAAAAAAAAATAAATTAAAAGTAAAAAAAAAACTTTTTAAAAACAAGCTTTTATTTAAATGCTCTAAAAGGAATAAAATAAACTTTTTAAAAACTTTTTTTGCTATCAGCTTATAAAGTCGTTATACAAGTTATGATATAAAACCTTGTCGCGAGATTTACCTGAGTACATAAACATGCAAATTAAATAACTTGATCTGATTGATTTTAATTTTTAAAAATTTCAGACTAAGTAAATATGAGTACTTAAATCTTGCGACAAGCTTTTATATCATAAATTGTATAACGACTTTATAAGTTGATGACGAAAGAGAGTTTTAACAGAAAAGTTTATTTTATTACTTTTAGAGCATTTAAATAAAAGCTTGTTTTTAAAAAACATTTCTTACTTTTAATTTATTATTATTTTTCCCCAAAAAATATAGCTTACAGGCTTAGTAGTATCGTCTAATGATTTAATTTGTTCGGCACGATACCATTATAATTACATAAATGCTTTATATTTTTATGTTAAACGGGACACAAAACTTAAAGAAGGGAAGAGAAAGATATATGTTTGAGATAAAACGTATTTTTAATTTACAGAACATAGCCATCATGTAAGATTAAAAAAAACTAGTTTTTTATACTAAAAGTTTTTAATTAACTGTTTAATAACGTCTTGATGTATGGGAGTGAAATTGCTTGTTGCAAGGTCCAAATGAAGACAACTCCCTCACCGGTAAAAAACCTTTTATTTATTGGGTGGAAACAGACTACCTAATATATACAACGTCATCTTTACGGTTACAGTTATCCTAACCGTTACAGTTATAAATAAGTCTGTGTTACAGCTGTAAATTTATAAATTTAGTAAAAGATTTATTTTCCAAACCATTAAGCAGTTGAAATTAGAGTAAAAAATTGATATTTCACTATTTAAACGAATATTTAATTTAAAAACCCATGATTACATATATTTCAGAAAAAAAAAATTAATATATGAATTGCTACAATCGATGAATTTTATTTTTTCTCGATAAATGAGCATTACTGCTTCAACTTTCATAACATTTCGTTTCAATCTAAACAATATTCTTATTAACATTCTAAATGTGTTTATATTATTTTATATATTTTAATAAAATCCTGTATCGCGCAAAAATGAGGAAACAAACACTGAAATAAATGTTCTTCTAAAAGTAATATCACAAAGTATTCTATTGAGTAATCATCGAAGCAAAGGTGAAGTTTATTTCAAGAAGATTTATTTCTAAAACTTCTACATCCATCTTCAGAATGACAGAAAGAAGAAAAAAAGTTCAAAGCGTCTTATCTGCGCAGTTCCCTCTGAAAGGAATACATTTACATATCCTGAGTAGTAGGCTTCATGTTATTTCCTGGATAGGTCTGGGCATAAAACATAAATCGAAAACATGGACTGTTCTGAAATATTTTAAGAGATAGAGAGAACAAGACCTTTTAGCAGAATATTCAAGCTTTTAACACAAATAAATGAAATTTGACTTAAAAAACAATTGTCTTTCCGATTGCTTGTATAAAAGTACACATATTTGTGTATCTTGCCATACATTTAAGAATCCAAAAGTGTGTAAATTGTGAAAATTATCATAATGTAAAGGAATTTAAGTTTCTTACAAAAAAAAAAAAAAAAAAAGAAAAATGGGAACCA